CAAGTGCCTTACTACCAGTAACAAGAAGCTACTAGTAACAAGTGCATGGCTACTAGTAACAAGTGTTTCTCTGCACCAGTCCATCCCTCGACCTCTGCGACCTCCTCTCAGTCGAAGCTCCGGGGCGGTGGCGGTGGGCGCACGCCGGTCGCAGTCTTGGGGCGGCGGCAGCTCTCCTGCAACGTGCTTTTTGGTCGTGCAAAGAGCTGGTAAAAGAGCTGAAAGCACTTCCAAAGGATCTGATTCATGTATAAAATATAGACTTGCAAAAAACTACTCCAAAATATTCCAAAACACAACATGTTGGATGGTAAAACGAGAGCTTTTATTAAAGATAGGATCATCCTCCCAGTCTTCCCAGCTCTTCCCAGCCGTCTTCACTTTGGGCCCTCCTTCATGGCCCTCAGCTGCTTCAAGACCTCCGGCATGGCCACCCGAACCTGAAGCCGTTGCCCCGATGGACGGGATCCGGCTGGTGTTTTCGCCCACAAGCTTCCTTCTTGTGACTCGTAGCGTCCGTTGGCTCCTAGTAGCGATGCCAGGAGCCCCTAGTAGCGAACATTGCTACTAGTAGTGCGGCCAGGAGCCCCTAGTAGCGTCCTTGTTACTACTTATGTTTCTGAGGTTCCGAAGGGTTCTGAACAAGAGCGGAGCCTTGCTGAAGACTTCTGCCCGTCTTAGTGGTTGTCAAATCCCATGAAAAGCATCAGCTATAGGTCTTGCGCACTATCTGCCACCAGCCCAAGTTCTCTCACATCAAATTTCTTTCTCATGTCCACAAGTGTTTGGGGGCGGCCAGGACGAAAGCAGTTTGGCAGAAGTGCCACCTGAATAGATGACGGATGACCCCACAAATGAGACTGGAACGACCAGCGGTCCACCTTTTGCACCAAAAGATACACCATTTGTTGCTCAGTGAATTGACATCGTGGCAGGTAAGAGACATGAACTGCTTATCAAAATTGTCCATCTACTAATTTGAAGTGATGTTCAGGCTTATCACTAGTCCCTTCTCTGTGTTATTGAAACTAATGGAACGACCGCTTACGGAGCAGCGCGGGCTTCCTGGCCTTGTAGTCCAAGGTCCAGCAGCTTCCTTCGAAAGGAAAAATAAAAAAAACAGCGCAACACAGCAACACAACGGTGAGTCTTACGGCATTCTTGAAAAACTCACTTGGAATCCTTAAATCAAAGGAGGGCCCTCTTATATACTCCATTTCTGAGACTAGTTTAAACGTTTAAAGGTGTAGACAAAACTACTATCCATGCAGAAAGACATGTTTTTGCTCCTTAGTTTTAAACATGTTCAACACTTGCCTTTGGACAGGTAGCATTTGACGGCTTTACCATGTTTCACTGCCCTGCCGAGCAGTTGCCTTTTCGTGGAGTACCTGGGAACCCCTTCAACAAAAACCTGCCAAGATTGAGACGAACCACAAATCATGAGTTGCTGCACCGAGCATCGAATGAGTTGCTGCATCTCCCTGGGGCATGTCGAGGGCATCTCCAGCATTTGGCCTCCAGGGTGCCATATACTGCCATGTAGTACCCCCAATGACGGTAGTGAGTGGTGAATTCATGTGATGTGCCACTAGGGAGACCTTGCGAAGCTCCCAGTTTGAGCCTCTGGAGGGAGGCCACGGGGGGGTCCCTTTAAAAAACCCAACCCGTAAAGGGCCCATCGTTTGGTGGATTCCAATGGCATTCCCAATTCGTGGGGCCGATGAGAACTTCGTTTGAGGCATCGGAGATGTAAAGAGAAGTCTTGAGGAGTCTCCGACAGCGAAAATAGTAGCGTCCTTGTTACTACTAGCGTGGCACTTGTTACTAGAAGCGATGCACTTGTTCCTAGTAGCTTCTTGTTACTAGTAGCATCCTTTTCCACCGGTACTCAACCAGAAACATCTATGAGTGTGGCCTGGTTTGGCTGGCAGAGTTTAAGCACATGGTATGGTTGATTGGCCATTTCTCATTGATTTACTGCTATGGTGCCATAGTTTCTGGTTTTGTTGCTATGGGATTCACGGCTTCAATTATAGGGATGTCCAAATCGTGGACGAGAGCTAAACCGATCCGTTTTGGATCGGGGAACCCTCCAAACATGGCTCCACATGGCTCGGTGGGCTCGGTGGAACAAAGGTACCCAAAAAGTGATCGGCGGATTTGTCTTCCTTTTTGTGCTGTTTTGTTCTTTAGACTCTTCGTTTTCTTTCTTTCTTTCCGAGTTTTGGAATGTCCAGCATTGTCTAGCTCTCTTTTCCTTTTACACCTCTGATCAACATTTATAGTGTCATTCAGGTGAGTACCCAGCCGCAGCCTTCGATCACGCGGTCGCGGATGTCTGCGGGATCTAAGTTCGCCTTGTGCCGTGCGCGAGTCCTCCACACAACACCGAATGAACCCTGGTCATCAGGTGAATTCACTTCGAACTAGTTATGCTCAAAGTTCTCTGTTGTTGACCTTGTCTATACTCTAAACCAATGACTATTTCGGAGGTCCAACAACCATGCTATTGGGTTCAACACTGATCTCCGGGAATAGGAAGTCAATGCAACTAGTGAGTTCACCTCAGTCACAAAGCGTGCAACAAAAAACACACCCTTACGTTACGACTGATGCTGATGCTTGGATCCTCGGGAGTGCTACAAACAGGAGGGGCTGTCTGTGGTCCTACACAGGCGATGATCTGTCAAGTATCAATAGGGTTTTGTTGAGCATGCTAGAGAATACGGCAGAAACGATGTATCTATGTCTATGTGACTAACTTCCACCCCCAAAAAAGCTGCCCACCTGGGGGGAAGGTCATCTGTTTTCTGGGGGGGTAGAGACCAAACTTCTGCGCCAAGTCACGAACGGGATGTCATGAGACATGGCTTCCCATAGCAACGTCCCGAAGGCAAACACGTCCACGCTCTCCTGCGACACGGCGACTCGGAGACAGCTTCTGCGCATTGCGAGGAGATGGCTTCTGATGTTTGGTTCCAGCTGCGAACAGCACCAGAAAAAGAAGCTACTAGGAACAAGTGCCACGCTAGTAGTAACAGGTGCCTCGCTAGTAGTAACAAAAAGCTATTAGAATTAAATGAATTAATGATGGGACCTACAAGGACCTACAGTTCAAGCGCAGCAACGCGACCCGGACAGGTGCTCTGATGCGACACGCGGGTCACTGCGTGTCGTCCATATCAGCGATGGACCCGTCAGGAGTCTCGGCCACCAAAAAGGTGCCGAGAACACTTCGAACAGTGCCGAGACGAGACAGGGCCTGGTTGTACTACTAGTTGACGGACTAGTTCAGGACTAGTTGTGGTTTGAATCATATGTTCATTCCCAGGTTCAGATTCAAATCACAAGTCTGATCAACGATGATCAGACACCGCCCACTCCGCCCACTCCGTGTACTTGGCGTTGCGGAAGACTTCGGGCGCCATGTAGCTGGGTGTCCCAGCAAACCTTAAGGGCGCGAAGCTGGGGTTGGACGTATCCTAGTCGTCTGCCATCCAAATAGACAAATAGGACCTCTAAAAGGATCTCTAGAAGAACCTAATTATGAGATAGCACGTTTCCTTTTTGAATATCTTGGAAAGGTGACTGACTGAATGGGCAGGTGTTTCCATGTTTCCGACGAAAGGTTGGCCAATCGAGAGTTGAAATGTTTGCGATGTCGACTATTCTTGGCCGCAAGCGCTTCTTCCCGCTCAAGTATGTTTTGAAATTGTTTTGAACTCCCTACTACACTGGTAAGCTTGGCTCCAGTGTTGTGTGGTCAGACTTTCTTGGATTTCCCACTGATGCCAGGGACAGTTCGTAATAACAGCAAAGGCCCTTGAAACTGGTGATGCAGGCCACCCATTCAAGGCGTACCAGAAGCATACTGAAGTCTTAGCCTTATCATATTTTTTGTCTGTCTGAAAACAGTGCCAGTCGACATGTGCACGATCTTGCATGAGCTCAACACTTATACTTATGTATATTATTAATATACATACTCAAACCAGGCAGAAACTCTCTTAACACCATTAAATACCACACTTCCAATAGGGCACGGCAAAATACAACCACTCATCAGCTGAGCAATGGGCTTTTCTACGGTGCCATGGTATGCGATGGTGTGGTCGCAACTTGCCACTAGTTCGAGGCCATCGCTCTTAGGTTGGAGGCCATCGCTAGTGGCCATTTCACTGTAGCAACGACCAGAAACTCAAGTCCCTGTACCGAAGCAGAACGGTTCGGAAAGCAGAGTTGTCCTTGGTCCGAGCAGTTTCTGGGCACTTCCAGCCATGTCGTTGACAGCGCACTCTCCACTGCCCCATGAAAAGATTAGGGAAATCACGTGCCGGGAGTGATCAACACAGTTGGACTTTCAGCATCTCTGTCGGACTTCGAGTGAAATCAATCTTCTATGGACAGTCTGCATAAACCCTCATCCCTTGCATATAATGTCTGAACAGTTCACCCGTCCAAGAAGCTGCAGTGCGCCCGTCATTAGCTCCGACTTCAGCCGCGAAAGCCCAAAGTCGCACAGCTTGACCTGGCGCTGCAAGGATCACGGTGGGGAACGGAGGCGGAATGGTCTGAGTGCGAAGGATCACGGAGGGGGCTTCCTTTGATAGAATGGATCATGTTTAGAACACTCTGCTTGTTGGTGACATCTTCCTTTCTCTCTCGCGTGTCTTGCGGTCCTCGTCTTCGTCTTGCCTCGAGGTGCGGGGAGAGCAAGACGTTGTGGGACTTGATGTCCCGATGCGCGATGCCCCGTGCATGGAGGAAGGCCAAGGCCGTGGCAGAAGGATCGAGGATGTTCAGATGCCTTGGGGAAAACACTGGAGGTAGGTGGCTTGTTTTCTGGGCAGCGATGCTTCAGCAACCAGTGGACTCAACACCTCATGCAGACCAGTTGAACTCACCCACACCTCATGTGGACTGCAGTCTTCTGCTGCAATTGTTGTATTTCGGCATCGGATCAAACCATATGAAACGCATAATATGCTTGTTGAGAGCTATACCCTGGGCTCGGCTACAAACAGCGCCATTAAAAGCAGTGTATCACTTGCCCCGCACTGCAATAGTGCTCTCTGGCCCCATTATTCAGTTCAGTCTGAAGATTGCAGGGAGGCACCGTACATACCCAAGTACAGGGCCTGTGCCACTCCGTGTCACTCTGAAAACCTCAAAACCTCACTTCGCTACTAGTAACAAGGACGCTACTAGGGGCTCCTGGCCATACTACTAGGAGCAAGGACGCTACTAGGGGCTCCTGGCATCGCTACTAGGAGCAAGGACGCTACTAGTTTGCTATTAGGTTGGAGACCATTGCTTTCTTTTTGCGCCGAGGAGCTCTTGAAAGCCCAAGGAGAGTGGCCCTGAGGCTGACGCGAATTGGTGTGGCGCATGCAGCAGCTGGAAGTAGGAGCCTGCCATTGTCCCTCAGTCCAACATGTCCACCCGTAAACTCAACTCGTTGTGTCCAAAACCCTAAAATGGCCCTAAAACACTCATTTCTCGTAAAGAAATCTAACCAGAACACACCAAGAGTGTGTGGGCCAAAACAACCTCACACGCAGCCTACTGCTGCTGAATAGTTCTCCTGCACCACATCAAACAGACCAGCTCACAGTTTTACGTGCCTCGCGAGGTTCAGGTTTCGAAGCTCATCCTTCAACACTACAGCGACCTCTCGAAGCATCGGTCGTAGTCTCGAGCTCCATCCCTCCTTTGCCGGGCACGGCCTCCATCCACCAGTTCCATGATCAAACACCTTGGGAGGCCGTGACGTCTCGGTTTTGGTGCTGACGTGTCGGATTGCCGTGCCACCCGGCTCGGTTGGACCATGATTGGACCTTCAAAGGGGATGGCAGTGGTGTGCTTCTTGCTCCGCTCGTAGCGATGCCAGGAGCTACTAAGTAGCGTCCTTGTTGCTAGTAGCGATGGCCTCCACCTAGAAGCGATTTCTTGCAGGCTTTGCGCTTATACTGCTATACTGCTTGCTCGAGGCACAAGGCCGGTGGCTTCCGATGCAAGGCCAAGGGCATGAGGATATTGGGATGCCTGCCGTCAGCGGTCAGTGCAGTCTGGTTACTACCAAGTTCGGACGCGACCAGTGGCTGCGGCAACGAAGTACTACAGTCAGAAACCAGTCTGTTTCATCGATGTTCTTCTTCCAAAAGTACAAGATTCGATCTCGAGTTGTCCTGTCGTTCCAAGTTTGTCTCCTTTCTGGCCAAGCATAGATCCCAAGAACCGTTCTCACCTGCTTGACATGTTTCCTTCGAACGGACCGAACGGAGCTTCGGTCATCCCACGAATTCGATGGCGCGAAAACCTTTGCTGCCGTTTCCGCCTCGTTCGGAAAAACGGAAAAACGGGGCGAGGAGTGACTTCACGTGGCCTCAGCATCTCGAGCTTCTGCACCTCGTTGTCGAACTCGGCCAGGAGCTCATGGCCTTGGCACAGTTACTATTGGCAGCCATCGGGACCATGCGGCTGGAACTTCTTCGGGGGTTTCACTTGGTTTCACTATTGAACAAACAACATGTTCTTGAGAAGTTTCATTGAAGTGTTGCACCCAGAAACACCGGAAGCACTGTTCTCAAGTTGCTTGACGCAAAACCTTGTACAATGACCTTGAAATAAATGGATAGAGGTGGGTCTATCCGTCTGTAGTCCAAAAACCACTTGGTGGACTTGTTGGAAGGTGTTTTCTTCAACCCATGCAGAGCAAGGGCTTACGGCCTTAGGCGAAAAGAGAGTTGATCGAAGGAAACATCTTCCACCAGCATGTGTCACCGGGAAGAACCTGCTTCATTCAAATTGGTCGACCCCAAACAAGTTCATTCTTTGATGAGGAGATGACCTGACTGCCGAAGTCTATTAAAGTTGATGCCATCGGCAAAAAGCAATCCTGGCCATGGTAAACCCTTCCAAGCTCAACTTCTCTAATCGCACAGTCAGGTTGAGTTCAAAAGAACATGTTCCTTTTCCGATGTTGTGTGAGAGGAACCTCTCAAAAGTCAGATGTCTATAGCCAAGGATTTGATTTTTGGACTTGGTGATCTCAACACGCGACTCTTGAAGAAGAAAACACCTGCCTGCTTTACCTTCTCTGCGAGCTGCAAGGACCGTTGGTGGGATGGCTCGAACAAACAAAGCGGTTCTGCGTCCGCGGTTCTGCATCGTCTCTTCCAATTTCCACGGTGGAACCCAGTTGAACACAACCAAAATGTCCCAAAGAAACCCGTTTGTAAGCATCCTCAATGAATCCATGTGGCTGATGTTCGGGTCAAAGAGCTTCTTCACCGCCACCTGCGCTGTGCTCACGAGAAGATCCGACCTCAACGAATTCTGTACGCTAAGGTCCAAATACGAAGTTCATCATTTCAGCCACCCGAAAAGGGATTGCAAGACAAACAGAGACCCAAACACAGAAAGTGCCATTCCTATGTCTGAGAACATCCTGAAACTCCGGTGTCATTCTCTCGAAGTGACTCCGATTTCCACCATCTTCCACCCGTTTTTTCTCGTTTTCCCCCCCAAAAGGCAAACAGAAACCAACAACATCCACGGGGAGAGCTCGTCTTCCACTCCTCTCTTCTCCGTCCTCGGTCAAGGCACGTTGAGACTCCCCAAAATCGCACCTTGGTGCCGTGCCAGCTGCCCTTGTGGACCACACTGAAACCGCCTGTCGATGGAACGCGCGAAGCGACGGTCGATGAGACGGTCGAAGCGCGAAGAACGGGGTGTCCCCGTTCTTAGCCGTCTGGACCGCAGGGGGTGGATTCTTCGCTAGACATGGTGAGTGATTCATGCTTCCCACCCAGATGGTGCCAGGACGGCTTCTCCATCAACCTACAAAATATGCTTGGCCTTTGCTCTCCTTGCAAACATCTGAGAGAGAGAGAGAGAGCGCGAGTTGGCAGTAATGGACTTGACACATAAACAACTTGCCATTCTTCGCTATGAATACGTCTTTCCGTTGAGGTTCATAGATCTTCTGCACACCTGTTGCCCCGAAAACCACGGGTCGTTCCACGTTCCACCGTCCCTGGTGACCATCATGCGCCTTGGTTCAGGATCTCACCCAACTGCACCTCCGCCATTTCCTCATTCGCAGTAGCAAGAAGCTACTAGGTAGAGGCCATCGCTATTAGGTTGGAGGCCATCGTTACTAGGAACAAGAAGTTACAAGTAGCAAGGACGCTACTAGGGGCTCCTGGCATCGCTACTAGGAACAAGAAGCTACAAGATGCTACAAGTAGCAATAAGCCGTACGCGCCGAATCGGCACCCATTCGGTGCTGTGCGCACAGCGCACTGCTGCGTGGACCGTCTGGTGAGTGGGGTCTGTAGGGCGTATCTGTAGGAAGCATTGTATAATTTGCGGCATTGCGTATAGTAGCGTCCTTGCTCCTAGTAGCGATGCCAGGAGCCCCTAGTAGC